GTCCCACCTCGAGATAAATACAAAGACAATTTTAGCCTGCTGCGGTTGGCATTTTATTCAGTATGATACACTTTGAGTGTGAAACAAGTGGGAAAAACTCTGTTCGACAGTGGCGAGGAAAGACAATTCAAATTTTAACTTTTAATTATCTTCATACCTTCTTTAATAATGTCACAATTTATAGCCGACTTTTCTTGATTTTCGCCGCGGCACCCCTGGCATACGCACCCAGTTTGAGAACCTCTGCTGTTATGCCTCGGTCGAGTCAGCAGGCAAAGACCTTGCCGGCTGTTGTACCACGCAACCGGGTCGCAGTTTTACCCGCTACGACAGACTTAGGCAACAGCAACGATTGTGTTAATGAGAGAGTTATTTCAGTCCATCGCAGTGTATGCAGAAACGGGTGTAAGGTAACCACTATTCGTATTCGACCCGACCGCAAGTATTCGGCCGAATACCGAATAGTTATTAGGTCCACTATTCGGCCCCGAAGGGAATATTCGGCACTGCCCTAATTAATATAACGTATTTAAAAAAGCGTATATACATTTAGACTTTCTAAAATTAGCTGGTAGAAACTGAAAGAGTATGGACCTCATGGCTTTATGTAGCTTAGGGCTTCATTATGTCAAAATCCTGCCTTGAATCTTTGTATGCTAATACATATGCATCACGTGTGTGTGAGTATGTGATGTATGTTTGTTTACACGTGTATATGTGTACAAGTGTTTTTGTACATGTATTTTTGTGATGTGTTTGATGTTTTCTGGGGGGGGGGGGGGTGTTGGTTTGTTGATTCTGTTTGCACTCTATACCAAAGTAAAGTGAGTATAGGGCCCTTTCCTTCGAGTTCGGGCGTATCTGGTATATATGGCTAGAAAAGCGGTTTTGACCCTGGGGGGGGGGGGGGGTGGAGGGCTAACGACCCTTTCACAGGGGTCGCCTAAGACTATCAGAAAACACATATTCATTGAAGTTATTTATAAATGCAAAAATTTGTTTGGGGTTTGCCACAACATGAGGGAACTGTATTAAAGGGTCGCGGCATTAGAAAGGTTGAGAGCCACTGGGCTTGGCGCATATTTTAGAGACCAATCAGCACTCAGTGGGTGATGTGGTTTACATGTCGTTGGCCTTTACTTCCCAGGAATATAACCTGGTACCCATTTAAGGTTGGGTCGACATGGGAGCCAAGGTCATTTTTGAAAAAAGTCCGGTTTCGTCTTCGAATCCGTAGGCGAACGTCCAGCCGCTAAACTGTGGCAGCTTTCTCCATACCATCGGGCATTGAACTTTTGGAATGCCCTCTACAATGTCACCGTTGGAGATACAATTTTACCGGTTTAAAGACGGGACAATGCACTTCATTGCACCGAGTTCTATTCCATGAGGCTCAGTCTCTTCACGCAGAACTGCTTTCAGCCTGCTGATAGCCTCGCATAAGCAGAACACAGTAGCTCCAGCGACGACCACCGGAAGAGAGGGTCTCGTTTCAATTGCCCTAGTGAAACTAACCAACGGCCTCGGGAGAGCAAGGCATAAGGTTTATCCACTTATTCCTTTGCTTTCAGCGAAAAATTAGCGGTAGGAATAATTTGTTTTATTTGTGTGATTTTCCAGAAAATTCAATATCCCTGTTCAGGAGACCAGCTGCGGAGTTCAGGTAATGTATGAGTGTCGGAGCCGTCCTGTTTAGGTCGCAGACACTCGTCAATAGTTTGTATCGCTTCCATCATTCTTCGTTCCCAACAATTTAATTTTCGAGTACATCCAAAGCTAGAGTGGGCAGTATAGGCGTGTCTGGAAGAATTAATCAAATCGTTAAGAGAAACGGGGGAAGGGCGAGGGGGTTGAGGGGGGCTGAAAGACCGGAAGACAGTAGTGCCCTCGTGCTAGGTGGCACCATTGCACCGCTTTGGTCCTTGTTTCTGTAACAAGAGTTTCGAATTTTTCAAGTTCCTAGTGTGAGTAACGGGAACCCCATTTTTGAGGAAATACAGAATAGATCAATTCCCCCCCCCCCCCTAACTCCAACCCTACTCCACCACTTTTCTTAAGAAGCACGCCGTACAATGAGACTAACTAAGTATGTTTCCTTCGAAGTCAGAGTGTATCTGGCTGTGAGGCAAGGTACCAACAGTCAGCATACACAAAGCTAGGTATGTGAAACAGATGTGCACGCAAAGCTCAAGTTCTGGATCAGAACCAAGGTCTCGATGTGAACTAGCAATCAGAACCTTCTACGAAATGTACAGCCGGTGAATGCAAAGAAAAAGTTTTCACAGTTGGTTCGACCTCGGAGCTGAAGTTTATTATTATTATTATTATTATTATTATTATTATTATTATTATTATTATTATTATTATTATTATTATTATTATAATAAAAGCAGCTTAAGGAATTTCGTTTCCATGTCATTGTATAATGTTTGGACTTTTTTAAAAACTGTAGACTGGGTATGACAATGCAGTGGTTAGATGAGTGCCTGTGAACCCGAAGTCTTTGGTTCGATCGATCGATCTGGACTATTTCTGTGTAGACTGTTGGTTCTTGCTTCTCATCCATTCCGACAGGACAGCACTCCGACTTTGAAAGAAACATCCCTAATAAGTTTCCTCCTGCGACTGCAAGCTAGGGTAGCAGTGCGTCTATTCTTTGTTCTCCAAAATCGAGACGCGGAACCCACGAGGGAAAAAGTCTTATATGTTTACCAGGAAATGTCTGGGGAGGTCGATGTGGCCGGCATTCTTCTCTTTCTGCGTTCGATATCAGTCATGCTAAACATTGAGTCCCGTCTGGGTCACAAATAGGATTGTGCGTTTAAGGTCGCCACCGGTCCCCCATAGCTTTTCTTGCAATGTGGCTCCTTTGGGCCAGATCCACAGTCTTTACTGGGAAAGGTTAGGGCAGTACTGCAGATGCTCAGGGGTCTGTCTTTCTGCTCCACAATCACAGGCAGCAGATTCTTTTATGCCTATCCTGTACGGGTGTGCTCGAAGACCACAGTGTCCTGTCCGAAGTCTAAAAATTGATGTTTGTTCTTTCCTGTTGAGTTTGTTTATGCTGTCACTCTCTGGTCTGTAATCACCATTCTGCCTTCTCCACTCCCGCTTGAAAGACTGCTTTAGCGCTGTTTTGGTTTCCTTGTAGCTGTGTGGTGGATGAGGTTGTGGAAGATTACTCCCAGCTTTTGCCAACTCATCTGCTCTCTCATTTCCTTGAATACCACAGTGAGCTGGTATCCACTGCAAGACCAGTTCTGCTTCCTTGGAGAGTAAGCCAATGTTGGTCCTTAGATCAGCAATTAGTTTGTCTTGTTTTTTGCTGGATAGTGCTTGGAGAACAGACAATGAGTCACTAAGTATAACAATTTTGTGCCCTCTGTGTTCTTGAATGATGAGATGTTGGACTGCAGAGAGGAGGGCAGTTGCCTCAGCTCTGAAGTTAGTGCAGATGTCACCTGCTGGTAGAGAGAGAGTTTCTGCTCTACTGCAAGGGGATTTAATGTAAATTCCACAACCCCCCTTTCTGACTGCATCTGTAGCAGAGCCGTCGGTGAAAACCTGAGTCCAAGTGGTGTTTGGATACTTCTCATCAAGCATAGCAAGAGCCAGGGTTCTCCGTCTGGGCATCTTTTGAAGTGATTCCTGGTACCTTTAGAACTACATTTGCTTTCTCTGGCTTGCTTGTCCATGGTTCTGGCCTAAGTGCAACATCTCTTTCAAGCAGATCTTGGTGCTGTCTGTACATTTCTCTAGCAAGGTGGTTGGGGCCCTGACGCTTCAGTCTGTTTTTTGTTCTCTCTTGAAATTTAAAATGCAGTGGATGACTTTGAAGTTTTTTTAATTTCTCATACTGTAAAAGAGTTTTGTATTGTCTTCTGAGTTCGAGTGGTTCAGTATCTGCTATCTTTTCTATTTCTCTGATGGGGGTGGTTTTCATGGCTCCGAGAACAATTCTTAATCCCATATTCTGAACCTTGTCCAGTTTTTCCATTGTTGTCTTGGCTACTGCAGCCCATGCGGTGAAGGCATATTCCATGACTGGCCTGACTGCTCCAGTATATACTTCTTTTAGGATTCTAGAGTTAGCGCGCCATGTAGTACCCGCTAATTTTTTCATAACTGCAAGCTTCTTGAATGCTTTTCCCTGTACTGCTTCTATGTGGCCGGCATAATGTTGTTGACATCGAGTGCTGATTGGTCAAAAACATTTGGGTGTATCTTATTATTCTTCTCTTCTTCTTCTTTGCGTTCACCAGCTGTAAACTCTGGCGGAAAGTTTTGATGTTCGTCCACTTCTGAACTGCAGTCTTGCTCCAGAACTTGAGTGTTGCGTGTGCATCAGTTTTACAGTTCTGATTCACTTGAATGCAGACTGTTGGTTCCTTGCCCCTCAGGCAGATGCACTCCGACTTCAAAGAAAGCTCCCCAAATAGTCGACTCTTACGACATGCTTTTGGGTAGGCAGTGGGTCTATTCTTGTTTTTCCAACAATGGGGCCCCAGAACCCACACGGGGATATCTTATTATTATTATTATTATTGTGATTATAATTATTATTATTCGTCTTCGTGTTCACTGACTGTAAACTTGAGCGGAAAGTTCTGGTTGCTCTAGACTTGACTCTTGTTCCAGAACCTGAATGTTGCGTGCACATCCGTTTACCGACTTGATATATTTTAATGGAAACTGTTGGTTCCTTGTCTCTCAGGCAGATGCATTTCGACTTTGAAGGGAGCCTCCATTCAGTCGACTATAACGACATGTTTGTTGGGAAGGCAGTGGGCCAGTTCTTTGTTTCCCCACAATAGGACCCCAGAAGCCACACGGGGGTGGGGGAGGGAAGGGTTCAACAACAGATACTGTATTTGTAAAGGGCTCATTGCTCACTTGCATACTGTCCCTTTCCAGGTGTAAGGAAGAACAGCCCAATCCGGTCAGAGTGCCTCCACGACATGCATCTGGAACTGTCGGATGTCGTCACCGTCAATGGGGAGATGGCCAAGCAGGTCACGACCCTCCAAGGAGATACCAGCAATAACAGCAATTTTAATTCTATTAACAGTAACAGTTCTCTGACAAATTTAAACCCTAACCCTCATGCAAAAGTGACCTTCAACATTGGTGGAGTCATATTCCAAACGTATGCGGAGACAGTCTTGGATGTTGCAAAAGTGAGTTCGCTATACCGGTTTCCTGTTCATAAATCATCATCATCATTATCGTGTAGATGTTGAATAGGGTGTATGCTTAATGGCTGAAGACTTTTTTAAATAATTTACTTGAGTACTATAATTAAATTTGCGTATTACGTCATGTTTCAAGCGCCATGTAACCGATAGTTTAGAGTTTAGAGTATTACTGCTATATCAGGGCTGTGCCGTGATTTAAGACGGAGAGGCGCCTGCAAAATGTGGCACTGTAAGGGACGGAATAAGCAACGAAATAAAACTACAATTTGAACATTTAGGGGCGGCATTTCGAAGACTTAGAAAATCTACCACATCTACCGCACAGCCCTGTGCTATACAACGGTGTTTTGGTAACTGATCTTGGCAATAATGCTGTTAACTATTCAAGAAAGAGTATTTTTGGTTGGACATGTGTTCATTAACGGTGGCAGGTATTTGAAGTTGGTTGTTCAAAAATGTATATTGTCGTTTCCTGATACTTACAAGCCCCACCCTAATACAGTTAACAATTTAACCAGTTAAATCGATGGTGACTAGAGCTGTAATATGGAAAATATAACCCAAAATAAGACATACTGTAGTAGTATATATTGCATTAACTCCACAGACGGTGATTACACAAATAGGAACAGCAGTATTTCCCCCTCCCTTCCAAAAAGTGCAGTCATTAAAAATACACCCTATAGAACAGTGACTCTCAAACTTCCTAATGTCGTAAGACCCTTTAATACAGTTACTCATTTTGTGGTAATCCCCAACCATACAATTATTTTAGTTGCTACTTCATAACTTCCGTAAATATATTTTTCCGATGGTCTTTGGCGACCCCTGTGAAAGGGTCGTTCGACCCGCAAAAGGGTCGCAACCCATAGGTTGAAAACTGCTGCTGTAGATCTTTTATTCTCTGCTCGTCACACGCAGGGAAATCTATTTGGTTCCTTGCCAACTGCGCCGCCTCTTGAACTTTCAACCCTGTAATATCTTGTATCCACCGTCGTTATGGTCGAGCCCTGACTCTTCTTCCAGAAGTCATGTTATCAACTGAATTTCTTCCAAACCGTTGTGGTAAATGATATGCCTCAAGCATTTTAGTTTATGAGCAACGATACTGTCGACGAGCCAGCAAGCCGCTCCTTATGCTGTTTTCAGATCCTGCAGAGTATTGGTCTTTTTCACCTTCTGGATTTTTCTGCCACTCTTGATAAGCGTGCCGCAGGTGGCTGATTTGATCTAAGGATTTGTGTGACAGCGAGCTATGAATGTCCACGCTTACTTATATGGTTAGTGAAGATGATCCCTTCTTCTTCTTCTTCTATTTTTTTTTTTTTTTTTTTTTTTTTTGACGTTAATCAGCTGTAAATTTTGGTAGAAAACCCTGGTTGTTCGTCCACTAATGGACTTTAGACTTCGGGCTGAGTGTTGAGTGGGCATCCCCTTTTATTATGTGGCATAGTCGTATGCAGACTGTTGGTTCCTCTTCTTCCAGCCAGATGCACTCTGACTGAGAAGGGAACACCCCTTATTAGTCAAAACGGGGTCCTGGAACCCTTACTTAGTCGCTCCTCTTTTCTACCTTGGGGTGTAGAGAATTGCCAGAGAGATCGCCATACTTCTCTACCAGCGGTTTTCTTTCTAGCTTTGTTCCATTCCAGTTCTCTGTCAGTCAGAGATTGTTAGATGTTGTCTTCCCGGCAGACCCTGGGTTGACCTGGAGTTCAGGGTCCCTGGTTTTTAGCCTCCCATGCCTGCTATGGTGGCCGATTTTCTCCCATTTCGCATACATATCCAAACCATCCTAACTGTGGCTGATCAACTCGAGTTTTCTAGCCATGAATTTCAGGACCTTGACGTACTGTCTTATTGTGGACTTTGTCCATTTTTGTCACTTGGACCATCCTTCTCAGATATCTCATTTCCGAAGCCTTAAAATTATCTTCTGTGAGCTGTTGTATTTGCCCATGACTTACATCCATAGGTCAGGACTGGCACATAGGTAGAGTGGTAAACAGCCCTTTTCGTCCTCTTGCCAATTTCTCTTTTGCTAAGGAATCCTTCATTTTTTTTTTTTTTTTTTTTCCTGAAAGAGTCTCCTGGCAGCTGCTTTTCGAGTAGCCAGCTTTGTCCCAATATCTCAATTTCGGTCTATCACAACTACAAGGAATTTGAACTGGCTGACCTGCTCCAATGCATACTGTCCCATCATGATCTGGTGTTTCTTCTCCTCTCTTAAGATCACAATGGTTTTCGTTTTGGAGATACTGATGGTCACTCTTTTCTTCTCAAGCTCCTTTTTCCAGACAGGTAAGTTGATTGAAGATGTGTCTCTGACTTAGCTATATAGGCCACATCGTCTGCAAATGCCAGCACTGATATACAGATTGGTCTCGTTTTCCAGTACCCTACAGAGTACTTCTTTGTCTTCTCCCTGCAGGTCTTGATGACAACATCCATCATAAGAATAAGGAGGTAAGGTGAAAAAATATCTTGTCTAACACCGCTAGTAGTCTCAAATTATTCTGCCTTTTGGTCTGCTATTCTTACATAATTTCTGCAGCTTTGAAATAAGCTCTGTATTGAACTGATCAGGGTGCTGTATCATGCATGCCAAGCAGTCCCAGAGCTTGCTCTAGGGAACCTAAACGAATGCCTGTTTTAGATTAAAAGAACACAGGTGCATCTCACTCTTATACTCAAGGGCTTTTTCACTCATCTGTCTGCGTGTGCAGGTAAAGTCTTGAGGACTTCGGTCTGCCCTTAAGCCACATTGGGCCTGATCCCGCTGCGACCCCAGAACCCACATGGGGAAATGATGACAGCGAAGATTTATTGCTAGTGTCGGAGATATAACATTTATATCCGGAACGACAGATCGCTGCTAATAAATTATCTATATCAACGTTTTCACACCTCAAAGCCGTTTAATCATTCATAGTCCATCTTCTAATCATTCATAGTCCATCTTCTAATCATTCATAGTCCATCTTCATTTTGTTTTAACATGCTACTACATTTATTCTTTTTTGTTTGAAATCTTCCGTTGCAGCTGAATGAAGACACTTTAAACACCCATTTCGATGCGGTCAACAACGAATACTTTTTCGACCGCGACCCTGAAGTTTTCCGTTCAATTCTAAATTACTGGAGAACAGGCAAGCTTCACCTGCCGCTATTCAGATGTGGCCCATCTGTAAGTTGCTTACCTTGTTACGGCAGTAACTTTGTGTACTTTGTTGCAGCAGTAATTCCCTGTATCCTGCAGCAGTGACTTTCTGTCTGTCGATTGCAGCAGTAAATTTGCACCTAGTAAATTTCTTTACCCTGTCACAGCAGTAACTTTCTGTCTGTTGGTTGCAGCCCTGTCTGATGCATGCTTTTCCTAAATTGTCGTGCTAAGTGTCCAGACACGACTCCGATAAAGGTATGTGACGTGCTGAAAAAGATTGTGCCTTCTCTATGATCATCGAAGTCTCGGATCTTTGGGCTGCTTCCTGTTGATCTTTAAAGGCCCATGACGAGTGGGAAGCTAAACATAAACAAGTTGAGCAGTCGTTTACTGGACGTGACGATTCCTTGTGTGAGCCTATGACCCGAGCGACTCGTGCCGGCTCTGCCATTATGGAAACCTCCTTGTATGGCGGGGAATGATCATAATTTGCCTTGTCTTTCCTTGAGGGCTGATCAGTCTTTACATAGTTGGATTATCCAGGGGCATTACCCGTAGATAAAGGGACACAGAGGCAATCACACAAATAAGGCTACGTCCGATCTTACTACTTAGAAACCAGGGGAAATTACTAGAAGTCCACGTAGAAAAATCCCAGCCTTCACCGGGGCCTGAACCCGCGACCTCCATGCCTCAGGACCACTCAGCTCCCTGGCTTAGCATTGCTCACCACCAAGAGCCCTAAAAAGGACTCTGGCAGAGTTGATGCGATCAAAGGACTCTGGCAGAGTTGATGCGATCGAAGGACTCTGGCAGAGTTGATGCGATCGAAGGACTCTGGCAGAGTTGATGCGATCGAAAGACTCTGGCAGAGTGGATGCGATCGAAGGACTCTGGCAGAGTTTATGCGGTCGAAGGACTCTGGCAGAGTTGATGCGATCGAAGGACTGGCGGATTTGATGCGATCAAAGGGGTTCTGGCAGAGCTGATGCGATCACGGGACTCTAGCAGAGTGGATGCGATCAAAGGACTCTGGCAGAGTGGATGCGATCAAAGGACTGGCGGATTTGATGCGATCAAAGAACTCTGGCAGAGCTGATGCGATCAAAGAACTCTGGCAGAGCTGATGAGATCAAAGGAGACAGACCCAAATACTGGCCCGACCCTTGACAAAGTCTTTAAGGCGAGCCAATGGGTGACCCGGTCGCTCATGGATTTTGGTGTGGGTTGAGTTTCCTTAAAAATTAGGAAAGGGTGGGGGTGGAGGAAAGGGGGGGGGGCTCGAGATGCCTGAGCTATTTCAAGCCAGGCTGTTTATTTGTTTTCGTTGAAGACAGTTATTTGCCTTTTTCCTGGGGGCTTCGTGGTCTCGAGGCATGGTGTCATAGATGTTCGGGTTCAATCCCCAGGAAGGGATCGGATTTTTTCACGTTACTTGGACTTCCCGTAATTCCCCCTGGTCCCTGGGTAGTGAAATCGGACGCCCGTGTACATTGTTGCGCACGTAAAAAGTGTCTTGGCAGTTGGAAAAAACCTCAAACCTAAAACCTCTGCCTTTTCCCTTTCAAGGTCCGCGAAGAGCTTGCATTCTGGGGTCTGGAAGAGCTGGACATCGAGCCGTGCTGTTGGAATAATTACAACACTGGCATTGCAACGACAGCCTCCTTGGTCAAACTGCGCCGCGACTCCATGAGGGAGAAGGAAGCCAAATATATCGCGGAGCCGACCACTCGCTATGGACACTGGCGACTGCACATGTGGTACCTGCTGACCACACCGTCCTATTCTAGGACAGCTAAGGTGGCATGTTGTTAAATATTTGTGTCCTAGTAGCACTTATCTTTTTCGTCTTCCTCTTTCTTTCTGTTTATCTTTCTTTCTTTCTTTCTTTCTTTCTTTCTTTCTTTCTTTCTTTCTTTCTTTCTTTCTTTCTTTCTTTCTTTCTTTCTTTCTTTCTTTCTTTCTTTCTTTCTTTCTTTCTCTCTTCTTCTCCTCATTCTCTTCCTCCCCTCTTATTCTTATTCTCCTTCTTATTCTTTCTTTTTCATTTTTCTTTCTTTCTTATTTTTTTTCCTTATTGTTTTTAACATTTGCCGGCTGTTAACTTCGGTGGAAAGTTCTAGTTTTTCACCCATCACTCGTTCGAAAACTTGAGTTTCGCGTGCACATCAGTTTTACAGATGTCTTATTTGCATGCAGACTGTTGTTTTCTCGCCTCTCAGTCAGATGCACTCCGACATCCAAAGAAGTTCTCCTAATTGGCCGCCTTTTACAACATGCGGTGGGTCTTTTCTCCCCGTGAAATCGAAAGGAGTTGGCTAACGGAATAATTTGTAGTTAAAAATCTACCCAAAGTATTTCAGGATCCTCGCCGGTGGCACGGAGTTCGTGCATTGCGCTCAGATTCTTTGGACTCAGGCTTGAGTCAGAAGTAAAACGGGACACTTATGGGCTACTACCTTAGTGTTATGATGTTGGTCCATAGTTTAAAACCCAAACTGGTGACACCTTGTCATTCGCCTTCCGCACTGACCCCCATCCCCACCCCTCCCCCCATCCCTTTTCCCAGTGATGATACTTAGTACAGACCCCTAGCATTAATTGTTAGTACAGACCCCTAGCATTAATCTTTAGTACAGACCCCTAGCATTAATCTTTAGTACAGACCCCTAGCATTAATCTTTAGTACAGACCCCTAGCATTAATCTTTAGTACAGACCCCTAGCATTAATCTTTAGTACTGACCCTAGCATTAATCTTTAGTACTGACCCCTAACGCTACCCCCGAGCACTGGCCCTAGCAATCTTAGAAAGACACGAGAGTGGGCTTTTCCTAAATTAAACCCTGGCATGTAAAAAATGACTGTAGAACGCGTTCAATAACTTCCAAACCACAAAGCCTTTCAAAACCACATGAAAGACGTCGACTGTAGGGGACAATTTCTTCTTCTTACCGGTCACCGAATGTTAACGCCGGCGGAAAGTTCTGATTGTTCGTCCACTTCTGGACTTTGGTCTTCTTCCAGAACTAGAGTTGTGCATGCACATCCGATTCATACATCTGGCTTAGTTGTGTGCAGACTGTCAGTTCACCGCCTATCAGGCAGATACACAACGACTTCAAAGGAAACACCTATAGTTAATCTCCTTTTACGACAAACCTGTTTTGTGAGGGTGGGGAGTTGTGAGTATTCTTTTTCTAACACAATGGGGCCCTGGGACCCACACATGGATATGGGAGACCACGAAAGCCAGGCCGACAACCCTTGTACTGACCCAGACATCCGCATGGGTACTGCGGCAAACCACAGCATTATGCGAATGGAAGTGTCTGCGAAAACAAATTCACAACTCAGGCTTCAGTCCTTTAACTGCCCAGAAAGTGAAGAAAAGGACAATTTTCCACACCTTTGGGTGTATTTACAAGGAAAGCCCCTTCTTTTATAGACCAATCAGCACTAGGTGTGCCGTGAGGTCAACATCACACCGGCTGCCTTTACTTTCCAGGACCGTGCCTGGTACCCATGTAAGGTTGGTGGACCTCGTAGCCAAGGTCATTTTTTGAGAGAAAATAAATTGAGTCCGATCCGCCAGAACCTGAACCCACGACCTCCCGATCCACAGGCGATGGTCTAGCCTCTGCACCAGCAGTTCCTTTTGTGGGCGAACGATCCTTTCACAGGGGTCTCATAAGACCATCGGAAAACACATATTGGTTGAAGCTATGAAGTAGCAGTGAAAATAGTTGTACGGCTGGGGGTCGCCACAACACGAGCAACTGTATTAAAGAGTCAGCACAAAATTAAGAACTGTATTAAAGAGTCACCACAAAATAAGGAACTGTATTAAAGAGTCACCACAAAATGAGGAACTGTATTAAAGTGTCACCACAAAATGAGGAACTGTACTAAAGAGTCACCACAAAATGAGAAACTGTATTAAAGAGTCACCACAAAATTAGGAACTGTATTAAAGAGTCACCACAAAATTAGGAACTGTATTAAAGAGTTTCCACAAAATGAGGAACTGAATTAAAGGGTCGCCACAACATGGCGAAATTTATTAAAGGGTCGCCACAACACGGGAAACTGTATTAGAGGGTCGCCACAACATGGGGAACTGTATTAGAGGGTCGCCACAACATGGGGAACTGTATTAGAGGGTCGCCACAACATGGGGAACTGTATTAGAGGGTCGCCACAACATGGGGAACTGTATTAGAGGGTCGCCACAACATGGGGAACTGTATTAGAGGGTCGCCACAACATGGGCAACTGTAAAAGAGGGTCGCCACAACATGGGGAACTGTATTAGAGGGTCGCCACAACATGGGGAACTGTATAAGAGGGTCGCCACAACATAGGGAACTGTATTAGAGGGTCGCCACAACATGGGGAACTGTATTAGAGGGTCGCCACAACATGGGGAACTGTATTAGAGGGTCGCCACAACATGGGGAACTGTATTAGATGGTCGCCACAACATGGGGAACTGTATTAGAGGGTCGCGGCATTACGAAGGTTAAGAACCGCTACTCTAAACCATAACTACCCATAAACCTATAGGCAAAATGGTTGACGTTAGTTACGTAATTGTCAAGCCCAGCAGATTTCCCAGGCGGGCATTAGAATACACTCCTGTGAAGTAGCCATTTGGAGAATTGAAGTGTTAGGACTTGAACGAGTGTGGGCATTTAAAGAGCCGATGTTTCTGGTTAGTAAGTAAGTAAGTTTTACCCCGCGAGGACATCACACTAAGTGATAAACACCCGGTGACACAAAATGCCACCATTCGGGTGAGGCTACCCGAGGAGAAGTCCCGGAAACCCGTTCAACCGTTAGCTTATATTTGCACCCCCCGTCAACATCCAGGGTGGGGTTTTGCGTTGGGTTTCTCATTAAAATGCGAATGATTGAATCACGGCCGAGTTATAAATGCAGAGTTGGTACGAGTATTTAGTTGGTTGGTTGGCCACTCGGTAAGTAGGCTGGTGTTGATCGGTCGATTGCGCGGTCACCTGGTTGGTTTACTTTCTGTCAATTGCTGTGTAGGTTGGTTTCTGGATTGTTGATTGGATGTTCAAAAGATTGCTGTGTAGGTTGGTTGCTGGATTGTTGATTGGATGTTCAAAAGATTGCTGTGTAGGTTGGTTGCTGGATTGTTGATTGGATGTTCAAAAGATTGCTGTGTAGGTTGGTTTCTGGATTGTTGATTGGATGTTCAAAAGATTGCTGTGTAGGTTGGTTGCTGGATTGTTGATTGGATGTTCAAAAGATTGCTGTGTAGGTTGGTTGCTGGATTGTTGATTGGATGTTCAAAAGATTGCTGTGTAGGTTGGTTTCTGGATTGTTTACTGGATATTTAAAATATTGCTGGGTGTGTTGGTTGGTTGTGAATCCTCTAGAATAATGAATTTCAACTCTTCTAGTCTAAAGTATTTCAGAGCTGTTAGTTATGTTTCGAAAAATCCGTATTCACGTTTACAGTCACATCCCTACATCGAAATACGAACTCGATGTTTATGCCATATTTGATTATTCTTTAAGATTTCCGGTGACCTCTCTTGTAATTGTGGGTGCTCCATGATAAATTATATCAAGATATGTTTTATTTTAGAAATGACTTATTTAAAAACATGTTTATCCAACATTTAACTTTGTCTTTCCATTTCTAACTATTTTCTGCATCTCCTACTGTCGTGTTTTATTTCTTCCTTGTTTTCGGGGTTTATGTTGTATAACAGTCACGTATTAACCTTGTGTTCTGTATTTTGATTGTCTAAAAGTAGTTCTGCATTTAGAGAATAGATTATAGGTTCACAAAATAGACGGGACAAGTTAGTTCCTTGCTTGAAAATGAAGAAATTATAAAACAAAGTAAGAATGCGAAGAGAATTAGTTAACAACATCAATGTCCAACCGAGTATTTTGATCACATAGAATCAAAAGAGAACTGATTAGTGAACCATCGTATTTTTTAGGCACGTTTTGAGGAGGGACACTGGGTTAATTCATGATAACAGTACAGTTCGAGAGAGGTGATGCAGGGGAAGACATTCTGCTTCTTCTTCTTCTTCTCTTTCTTCTTCTCTTTCTTCTTTTTTCTTCTTCTTCTTCTTCTTCTTCTTCTTCTTCTTCTTCTTCTTCTTCTTCTTCTTCTTCTTCTTTTTCTTCTTCTTTTTCTTCTTCTTCTTCTTCTTCTTCTTCTTCTTCTTCTTCTTCTTCTTCTTCTTCTTCTTCTTCTTCTTCTTCTTCTTCTTCTTCTTCTTCTTCTTCTTCTTCTTCTTCTTCTTCTTCTTTTTCTTCTACTTCTTCTTCTTCTTTTTCGTAGCGTTTACCGGTTGTAAAGTTCTGTGAAAAGTTTTGGTTGTTCGTCCACTTATGGACGTTGGCTTTATTCTTGAGTTTTGCTTGCACATTCCTTTTATAAATCTGGCTTATTTGAATGCAGAGTGCTGGTTCCGCGCCTGTCAAGCAGATGCATTTCAAGAAAGCACCCATAATTAGGCGCCTTTTACGAAATGTTTATTAGGAGCAGTGTATACCCCCTCCCCCACCTCTTCCCACCTTTTTCCCCTAATAGGGCCCCGGAGTCCACACGAGGAAGGGGAGATCAAGAGAAAGGGTATGGATAGTCTGGTGTCATCACACAAAGAACAACCGTATAAGAAATTATTTGCAGTAAGAGACAGAAGGCTGTGGACGATCGTAATTACCAGCAAGGACGACCTTGGCTGTAAGGTGAAGAAAGTGGCATGCATTCAGAAGACACGGCTGGAGTGGAAGGCTAACTTAAGAGCT